CCGGCAGGAAACCCTCAGGTAACATTGACCTCTCCACACTCTAGGATGTTGCTCACATCTCTGAGCACCGCTGTTTTGGGCGAGAAGTTCCCCATTGAACCTCACCTCCTCTGTGTAAGGAAAGAGTCCATTTTCTCTCGTGTTCAAGATGGGCCTTTGTGTTTGACTTACAGTGTAACTACAGCATGCCCTGACATGGCCTTTGTCAGGTGAATCCTGCATGTTTATTTTGCATTTTGGATCTGAAATACATATCTTGAAGTAAATTCAGAGCGATTTAGGGCTTTCTTCTTTAAAAAAAATTTTTGCCCCATTCTCTCCCTTCCTTCTGTGACTCCAGGAACATGTTTGTTAGACTACCTAGAATAATGTAAGTTATCATATGTGAGTTTTAATTCATTTTATAAATGAAAACGTATCCTGCACTCTTCATAGCATGTGGTTTCTTAATCACTTACTTCCATGTTTCACAGTCCTTTAAGTCCATCCACTGACTTCCATTTCGGAAGGTCCGGTTTTTTCCATTCAGTTCTTGGGTCATGCACGGTTCCCTGCTGAGCGGTCCTGGTTGGGGTTTACCATGTGCGTGCTTCATTTATACTATCGAGGATAGCTATCATATCGCTCTTCAAGCCTTGTTTTCTCCTCCACGTGCACTGCATTTTCCTGGCATGGTGTATGTGGATGAATCCTGGTGCTCTGGAAGGTTAGAAGGAGGAGACTTGTGCCCACCCCCACCCCCTTGTGAATGCTGCTGCTTTTGAATTTCCACATTCCTTGTGAATGTGGTAGGTGATAGTTTTGGTTGGACTCCAACCTCACTCTGTTTCTTGGGTGGAGAGCTTTTGTCGCTTAGGAGCCAGTGGGAATCAGGATGAGACAGAATGTTATTTCTTTTCCCGTTTGGTTTGGTTTGGTTTTGAGCAGGATGTCACATAGTAGCCCAGATGACTCACTGCCTAGCTGAGCATGGCCTTGATCTCCTGATCCTCCTGCCTCCACCTCCAAGTACTGGGGTTCCAGGTGTGGCCACCACACCAGGCTTTAGACTTGTTTTCTTACTGACACAGGTCTGTGCCTCCTTACAGGGCAGCTTGGTGTGTATATACAGTGTGCGGTAAGAGTGAGCCACTGGATCTCTTCCCCTGTTCACCGAGTTAGGAATCCCCTTCTCTCCTTACTTTGAACCGGCATGGCTTGTTGTTAGCAGCACCTGCCCTGTGCTGAAGAGGAACCTGAAGCCACTCTCCCCCGTGTCCCCTCACCAAACCTCCTTCAGTCTTTTCTCTGGTGACCATCATCCCATCCCTTCGGGAAGGTTGGCTCACTAGCCCCACAGATGAGGACCTGTGTTTGTCCTTCTGAAGCTGAGACAGAACTTGGGACCCCTCTGGCTCCCCTTGGGTATTTTCTCTCCCTCTTGAGGCCAACAGTAGGTTTTCTAGTTTCCAGGGCTGTGAAGGCTACTTTTTAGAAGTCATTTCTGCTATACAGTAGCTAGCCCTGGGCTGGAGGGACTGTGGTAAGCCACATGGTTCCCTCCTCAGCATGGGGGGTCCCCAAACTCTGCAACTTCCATTCACAGAGCTTTCAGGAGTACCTCTGGTGCTCAGTGTCACCTGCAGGAGGGCTGGCCAGCAGGGCCTGATGCCACTGCTACAGAGAGACCCGTGTTTTAGCATTTTTATATTAATTTACAAAATAAACACTCTGTTTTGAAAATATCAGCAGCTTATTATATATATTTACAAGAGAGAACATGGTGGATCTGGCTGTTAAATGTGTTTAGAAACTACAGTATGGAGAAATTTCTGTAATTTTTCTCTCAAGTTCTATTTTAAAATTAACTTTTTTAGAGTGCCTATTTCTTTTATTTATTTTCATTTTTTAGGTGTATGAGTGTTTTGCCTGCATGTATGTATATGTACCTGTGTTGTGCAGTACCTTTGGAGACCAAAAGAGGGCATCAGATCCCCTGGAACTGGAGTTATGGATGGTTGTTAACTGCCATGTGGGTGCTGGGAATCAAACCCAGGTGTTCTGCAAGAGCAGCCAGTGCTCTTAACCACTGAACCAACTCTCCAGCTCCATTTCCTTTATTTTTTATTTTAATTTTTTTTCTTCCTTAAGTATCAAATAAGTAAACACCTAGATTTTCTTCTAAGTTCTTCATCATCACAGTTTTAAATTTAACATTTGGCTTGCTGTGAATTTGCTTCAGTATGTGCCGCCAACTGCAGGTCTCCATGTTTTCCCAAAGAGTGCCTCGATTTCCTGAATGTGGGGCATCAAAGCTGTTCTCAGTAGGAGCCGTAGCACTTAAAGCAAATTTCCAACCTGCCACAACTTAAGACGAAAATATATAACGCTGATGTTAGCATTCCCTGGAGGCATAGAATCAATAGAATGGATATATAGTAAGAGAGGGGTTATTAGATTGGCTTGCATGGTGTGGCCTGGCTGTCCCACAGAGGCCGAGGGTCTGGCCTGTGAGGCTGGATGTCTCGGCCGTCTCAACCCAGCACTGAAGGCCTAGAGGGTTGGTTCCTGGGGAACTGCTGATCTTCAGTCGCATTGGTGCCTGAAGCTTTTGATGACTGGAGCTGGTGCGGTGGTATGAGGTAGCCATGGCAGGAACACAGCCTCTGGAACAGGGTCAGAGCTTCAGCTCCAGTGGCCAGCTGGACTGAGGTGTGACTGAGCTGCAGGAAGGACTGAAAGCAGCCGGCTGTCCTGGAGGCGGGTCAGTGGTTTGCCACTTACAACAGCCAGGCACAGGAAGAGAGCTGAGAAGCCCAGTGGTCCCCCAGTAGCTCAAACCACTAGAGGGAGAAGGAGGAGGAACAGAAGAAGGAAGAAGAGGAGGAGAAACAAACCCAACGCACAGACACACAAACACACACATACACACATACCCATAGACATGAATGAAATTAACATTCTTACTAGTGCTTAAGACAGTTGCTGTCTCACAGTGCTTAACTATGCTGAACTCTCAGCAGAGTGCTGTTAGGAAGGCCTGGGTCCTCTGACCTGCCTCAAGGTAACCAACAGCCCCACCCTCAACACTCCCCCCACCACCCCCCAACTGGTCAGGCAGCTCATCCCTCACTTGGAAGATTTGGGTAGAGACAGGTACCAGTTGCTGTGTCTCCAGGGACAATGATGAAGTTCCTCCAGTGGCTCTTTGCACAAAAGGCTCACCCCACTGCACCCAGCAGAAGTTGGTGCATGGAGAGGCAAGGCAGGTTGTGGAAAAGAACTTTTCTTTGCTGATTTAGCTGATGGGAACATGGCAGAAATTCATGTCCTAAAGAACCGTTTTGCTGGGAGGCAAGTTCAGGGGAGGAAATGGTGCCGAAAATGGTAGACACCTTCCACGTAGAGTTGCAGGGCCCAGGGATGTACGAGGGACCTTAACTGCCTGCTGCGGCTGCTTCCCAGCTCTGCGCCTCAGGGCCTGTCATCAATTTGTCTGTGAGCAGCTTTGTGCTCCACATGGACTGGGAGAGTGGTCACTGGCCGCACGGCATTCTTGTTGATCAGAATAGAGTGAAAGAAATCACACCCAGGACCAAGTGAGACTGAGTGAGCCGGGTGGGAGGCCTGGCCTGAGGCTCAGTTTCAGAACCACCCACAGGCAGGTGTAGATATAGGCAAAGGATGTGTGAGGCTTGGATGCTCACACAGGTTCTGGGCTCAGTGAAGCAAAGCATCCCATCTCACGCTGGTTTTGGTTTGCTAAGATCTGAGGTGCATGAGCTCACTGCCACCCTGTTATGGATGGACCTGTGACATTAGTGTTTGAGTGACGCACACAGCAGGCTGGGGACGTCATTGAACACCTGCTGGCCATCCAGCCTGCACCTCATCTGTTAGCTTTTATCCTCACAAGAATCTCCCTCAGATATGACTCTCGTTCACAGCAAGATAAACAGAGTTCAGGGAGGAAGCAGCTTGTCTGAGGTCACACAGGTAGGAAGGGAAGTAACAGTGATTTGTACCTGTGCTTACCCCACGATGTTCCCACCGGCACCTGTAACTTCACAGTTATTGGGCCCTGACTCATGAGACCATCTCAATTTGGAAATGAGCTTTTGACATTTTCCGGTTATTTATGTGTACTAAGACTGTCATTCTGTGTCCGTTTCTATTGCTATCATAGCAAAACGGTAAGCTTAGGGGCTTGAAATGACATACATAAAGTTACTGTCTTCACCCTTTGGTAGGTGAGATGCCTCACAAGACTCACTGGGCTAGGGCGCTGACATGCGCAGGCCCCCAGGACCTCTGACTATTTCTGGCCCCTGCAGGCGGCTCACGGTTCCTTCCTACATCTGCATAGACCCCCGTGTCCCGTCACTCTCTGCTGGCAGCTTCCTCACTGATGTCATGTGGTTGGATGGACCCACCCAGTAACCCAGAATACTTGTGCATCAAGAGCACCTTTTCTGTTGTTATTGGGGTTTTGTTTTTGTTTTTGTTTTTCTTGACGTTCTGGGGATTAAATCCAGGGCCCCGTGTATGCTAGTTAAACACTCTACCACTAAGCTACGTCCCCAGCCCTCTAGTTCCTCCCTTAAGCATTGTAAAAAGTCTCCTTTGCTATGTGAAGCAAGCAGCCACAGGACCTAAGATGTGGCATGGATACCTTAGGAGGCTGTCATTCTGTCAGCCACAGTAATTGAATTCTTTCAATAATGAGTTTGAAAAAGCTACTTCGTGGACATTAGACTTTGAGCCAAATCCCTTTGTTTCTGCCTTCAGAATATCCTACCACAGACAGAATGCAGCCACACAGGATATATGAGCAGTCTGATTTTCCCTTGCTTTTAAGGAATCAATTTGTGGTGCTATTTTGCCAAATGAGTTTGTTTGCTTTAGATCTGAAACTTCATAGAAATTTGCTGCTGCTGTTTTCAATTTGATATTATCTAATCCATGTGGTATTATAGGAACAATTGTTTAAAGTAATGTTTTTGTTTTTTTTTTTAATCTAGATTTGGACTTAAAACCACCACTAGAGTCAATTGGAAGCAATTTTTAACAGTGTTTTATGAGCGCCAGGGGTTTGAAGCCAATAAGACAGTTCCCCCGAAGAAAAGAAGTAGGTACGTTAAAAAAAAAAAAAAAAAAAAAAAAAAACCCAACAACTAAAACTACAGTTTACAGAAACCATAAAATGGGTTAGGGAGCATGCAAATTACACTTTTTAGATTTGTTAAATGTCTAATTATCACCATTGAATAATTGTCAACTTTTATCTAGTGATTTACAGATAATAATTTTCATTCACTTTTGTTACCCGAAGTTGCCTTAAACTAGGAAGTTATTATTGCTACAGTTTCTTGCCGAGAAAAGTAAGTGTTTAGGGATCCTAACCCAGCCGTGTATCCAGAGCTTGAAGACTCTTCCCTGCAGTCCACTACCTGCTCACGTGTTTCCCCAGCTCCAAGTGTGCCCTTGTGAGGCTGTGAAAGTGCATACTTGTTCTGTATGTTTTTGGTCTTTTTGGTCTCCCTGTAGGCCCAGCTGGCCTGGAACTCGCTATGTAGACCAGGCTAGTCTTTATCTCACAGAGATCCGCCTGCCTCTGCCTTCCTAGTGCTGGGACTAAAGGTGTGGCCACCATGCGCTGCTCTTGCTGTGTGTCTTAGGAAGAGGGAAATACAAACACACACTAACCTGTTTTTCTGTCACCATTTGCATGGTGCGATGTCTTCTTGGTCATGGGAGTTTCTTGACTTGGGCCTCAGTGTTTCATGCTAACGTAACATCTGTCATGACTTCCAACTCATGCAAGTTGTAGTGGGAACACAGAAATGTAAAAAAGTAAGATGAAATAATATGGCATTTCAGATTTTAGACTTTTGAGCTAAGAATTGTCTTATTTATGCTGCGTGCATTCTTCCCTCACCACCCTGCTTGAGCCCTGTTAAAAACAGATCACCTTTTATAACTTCATCACATACATTTGAAGGCTCTCTGTCCTATTGTAAAATGAAATACCCTGTGGAGTCTCATCCCTTCCTGGGATTTAGGGATCTTTAATGGCGGCCCTGGTCACCAACTTCCCAGGATTCCAAGCCCCCAGGCCCTGTTCCTGGGAGGTAGCTGCGAGCCCACACCTCGGGCAAAGTTACCTCTGATTTACTTTTTATTTATTGGCGCTTAAAAGTTTTTTGATTTATTTCTTTTTATTTTACGTGCATGAGTGGGTCTTTTTTCAAGATAACAAGGGTTTTTGTTGTGGTGGTTTGGGGCTTTTCGGATTTAATTTTTTCCCCTTTTTTATTGAATTTTGGTGACTTTCATACAATATATTTTGATTGTATTTAGATCACCTCCTATCTGCAGCCACCTGCTCTCTACTATATGTAGTGCTATACTATATATATAAGAGTCAAATTTGTATCTTCCAGTGTCCTTCAGTGTGGGTCCATTCACTGAAGCCTGGTTAACCTACCAAGAGTCTCACCCTTACATGAAACTGACTCTGCCCCCCCCCCCAGAAGCCTTCAGTTTCCAAGGTAGAGTTCCTCAGTGAAGGGTTGGGGTTTCTTATCCACTTCTCCATATCTGTTCCAGGACTTTGTCTGGTTTGAGCTTACATGGGACTTGTGCATGCTGTCAGCATTTCTGTGAGTTCACATGAGTAACTTCCCAGCTGTCTGGAAAACTGTCTACCCCTTGGCTCTTACAATCTTTCACCCTCTCTTCCTCAATAATCCCTGAGCCTTGGAAGGCAGAGCTTTGATATCTTCAGGGATAAGCACTCCACAGCCTCTTTTTCTCTGCTTGTGGGTCAGTTGTGGGTCCGTCTCTTAATCACCATCTGCTACATAAGGAAGCATCTTTGGTGAGAGTTGAAAGATGCATTGCTGGATCTTCATAACAACAAGTCATTAGGAGTCTCTTTAATACTATTAATTATATAATTACTTCCATATTATTTGCCATATAATTATACTTTTTAATATACTTAGAATATAATATAATTATGTTTAGTAGAATAATAGTATTAAGCTCTCCCCTATGACCTGTGGCCTGTCTAGTCACAGATTCCTAGGCCTGATAGCTATGTCAGGTATGGGCTCCATCTCATGAAGCAGACCTTAAATCTAAGTAGAGAGTGGTTGGTTACTCCCATGATATTCATGCCACCACTGCCCCAGAGGTTGTATCTTACCAGGTCAGTTGTTGTAGTTCACAAGATCCACAGCTGGGTAAGGCTGATGGTTATTTTTTCCTTCTGATAGCATGCATAGCACCTTCCAGCACTGTGAACACTAGCCAGTAGAAGTCAGCACCAGCTTGATTTCTCCTTGTTTGTTCTACAGTTCATGAATATAGTGTCATCAATAGGGTCTTACTGTCAAGTTCTCGTGGGTAACCGTGAGAAGGGGCCATGGCTAGTATTATTTGAGGGTCTATGGGATGCCTGGTCAACATCTTCAAAAGAGGGAGTCCATTCCTGGCATTGGGGTTTTACTTTGCAAGCCAATGGTGTCTAGTAAGGGCAGTGTCCCCCTGTTATAAGGTAACTCCTCTTAATCCCGTTTTATAGTGTTTATGTATGTACTATAAGAAGCTTCTGCAGTGGGTTTCCATGTGCATTTCCCTAAAGGCCTTTAGTGTTGGTTGTCCCTCCCCACACTCCCTCCTGTGCTCTGAATGAGTGTTTTGCCTGGATGTATGTAAGTGCACCCATTTTATGCAGTACCTGTGGAGGCCATCAGATCCCCTGGAACTGGAGTTACAGATGGTTGTTGACTGCCAGATGGGTGTTGAGAATCAAACAGAGTCCTCTGCCAGAGGTGTTCTTAACCCCCAAGCCCTCCCTCTAGCCTCTATTTATTGTTTTGTTGTTTTGAGACAAAGTCTCACCGTGAGGTCAAGGCCTCGGTTTGCCTTGAACTCACCATCTTCTGGGGTAGGATTGCAGGTGTGTCACTGGGCCTGGGTCATGGGTTTCATTTACTTTAAAACAGTGGTTCTAAACTGGGGACAGTGTTGCCTGCAGGAAGACTTGGTAATACCACAGGATTTTTTTTTTTTTTTTGGTCTTTTTGAGACGGGGTCTCCCTGTAGCCCCAGCTGTCCTGGAACTCACTATGTAGACCAGGCTGGCCTTGAACTCACAGAGATCCGCCTGCCTCTGCCTCCCGAGTGCTGGGACTAAAGGCGTGACCACTACACCCAGCCACAGGACACTTTTGAGTGTCACAGCAGAGGTAGATGTATCCACTGAAAAAGTCTGTATGGGAAGACCAGGTGCACATGAGTCCCTACAGTGGAGGAGCACCTGCCCTGTCCAGTGTCCATGGTGCTGGGCAGGAGGGACCAGCTTAAGAAGTGTCTGCTCTTGGGGATGCTTAGAAGTGTCTGATCCGATGGGAAATATAAAAGTATCTGTTGAGCATCGAGGAAAGGAAGGTGAACAAATCTCACGAGGTTCCAGATCTCTTTTCTGGTCTGGGTTCACACTGAAGCTGGCGGACTACCCCAGAGTGAGTGGCCCGATGTCCCTGAGGACACAGATGATGGAGCCTTACAGCAGAGACTAGAGACAAGAAAGGGCAAGAGCTCAAAGGTACAGGCGGCTGTGCCGTGGTCACTGGAGGCCAGAGGCTTGTGAGTTCACGTGCCCTCAGCTCCGCTGACCCATGCATTGCAGCACGCTGCCCACCCAGGGGCCCTGGCAGTGATCTGTGGTCCATTTCTAGGTCTGTTTTGAGATCAAAATCACAGATTTGCAAGATGGACCACCAGGATTGATCAGCATAGGGCAAAGTTGGATGGGGTCACACAGCTTAGGGATGCCTGTGTGAGTTGCCTCCAGGGTGTTTTTGAGTGACTCACATAGGCTTACACCTGTACACTATGCTTTCTGAAGAAAAGAACCATAAAGCCGGTGCCGTTAGAGTTGTGGGGCACTTGCTTTTTACTCTAAGAACAGTCAAGCGTATGTAACCTCCTTCCCGTGTTCCTCTTCGTAGCAACCGACCTCGCAAGGAAAATGTCATCAAGAAGTTATTTAGATACTCCGAAGACCATTTCACAGCACTGAAGAAAGCACTGCTGATAATCAGCTCGGTAAGATCTTGAAGCTCTTCTCGGGAAGGACTCACTGTCAGTAGGAAAGCTAACACTCAGAGCACAGCCAACCAGAACTCTGTCTGAGTCAACTCACCCGCTCCCAAGCGTGTTTTGAGCTTGTGTTATACACTAGGGATTGTCCAGAGTGCTTCCAGGTACAAGTCTCAACTGCAGAGGTAGAGTCTCATCTGGTAGAATGTTAATTATAATACAGTGAGATAAATGTCTATTTCAGGGAGTCCAGTGTGAGCAAGATGGTTAAAATGGGCTGGCTGGTCAGTATCCACTGCTTAATTAATAAGTTATTCAGGCCTGTGGAGCCATCCCCACCCTAACCTAGAGTTTATCGGCTCAGAGCTAACTTGCTGCCCAGGGCAGAAAATTTCTTCTTTTCAAATCACCCTCTTTACCTTTTTAATTTTGCCACAAACAGAGGCTGGTAGGTGAGCTTGCTTTCCATTAAAGCTTAGGCTCTGCTCTCTCTTTCCTGTTTATTTTATTTTTTAATATTTTGTTTATTTTTTTAAATTTTTATGTGTGTGAGTGTATTACCTGTATGTATGTGAATGCCACCGTGTCATACAATGCTCACAGAGATCAGAATAGGACGTCAGATTTCCCTGGAACTGGAGTTACAAACAGTTGTTAGCCACCATGTGGGTGCTGGAAATTGAACCCAGGTCCTCTGCAAGAACAGCCAGTGCTTTTAATCACTGAGCCATTTCTCCAGCCCCTTTCCTCTTTATTTTTGAAAGTATAATTTGCATACTCTTTTTTTTTTTGTCTATTTGAGACAGGGTCTCCCTGTAGCCCCAGCTGTCCTAGAACTCACTATGTAGACCAGGCTGGCCTTGAACTCACAGAGGTCCGTCTGCTTCTGCCTCCCAAGTGCTGGGATTAAAGGCGTGCGCCACCACACCTGGCTGCATACTCTTTTAAAAGACTTATTTATTTTATTTATGTGTATGTGCCTGCTTATCTGTAAGTGCACCACATGCATGCAATGCCCACGGAGGCTAGAAGAGGGCATCGGGTCCCCTAGAACTGGAGTTACAGGTGATAGGTGATTGTGAACCTTCTGGTGTGGGTGCTGGGAACCAAACTCAGGTCTTCTGCAAGAGCAGCAAGCATTCTTAACCGCTGAGCCATCTCTCTACCCCTACCATACGAATATACTTGATGCATGGTAATGTTTCCCCTTTCGTTAGGGAGCGAATACATTCTGTGACTGAGTCACTAGTGGGTGGTGAACTGGGGGACTGACTCATCCTCAGACAAATAGGACCATGTACAAAGGGTTTTGAAGACCAGCATTATTGTCTTGGCGTCAGCTCCCCAAGCCTGCCTGTTTAGTTATTTGTTTGGTTTTTTTATTTGTTTGTTTGTTTTGTGCAGGATCTCCCTGTAGCCCTGGCTGACCTGGAACTCACTATGTAGATCAGGCTACAGAGATCCACCTGACTCTGCCTCTCAGGTGCTGGCCTGCGCCACCATGCCCAGCTCCAACACCCATTCTTGATAAAGATATTCAACAAACTTGAAATAGAAGAGAAATTCTTTAACCAAGTGAAGGGCATTTATGACACTCCTGGCTCATAGCACATTGATGTGCAGGACTGAAGGCCCCCGCCACACACACACACACACACACACACACACACACACACACACACCAAGAATCTTCCCCCCTAAGTTCCTCCCCTGAAGGCTCCTCCCCCTGGAGGTTTCCCCCTAGGGTATGAACCAAGCAGCAGAATCAGCTCTGGCTCCTTCTGTTCAGCATCACGCTGATCGTCCAAAGGACAGAAAGAAAAGACATCCAGGAGAAATGTGTAGAAAATTCCAGGGAAGCACAAAAATACACAGAAAGAGCTGGAACTAATGGAGTTCATGAAGTTCACAGGACTTCAGATCAATTGTACAGTATATGTTATGTAGTTTATAAACCATGGATGGACGCTCGAAATGAACTTCAGAAGGCAATTCCATTTATAACACCATCAGATAGAATAAATGGGGGCGGGAGAGATGGCTCAGTGTGTGAGGTGTGTGTTGGACAGTGTGAGGACCTGAGTGCTGATCCCCAGCACCCACAGGAAGAAGACAGAATCTTTAAATAAATGCTTATGTTTATGGTCTACTCTTATTTTTTGACAAATCTAATAGGGGAAAGTGTTGGTTATTTATTTGAGACAGGATCTCACTGTGTATCCCTGGTTTGCTTGGAACTTACTCTGTAGACCGGGCTGGCATCAAAGTTATCGAGATCCACCTGCCTTTGCTTCCTGAGTACTGGGAATAAAGATATGTGTCACTATACCTAGCTAAGTTATTTTTTTTTAAATGGTGCTGAGAAAATTAGGTATTTGTGTACAAGAAGAGAAATTTCAGCCCTTAATCCATTCACAATTAGACCTTGATATAAGAGCTAAAATGGTAAAACTCTTACAAGAAAATCATATGCATAACTCTCTGTAATTTTGCATCAGGCAAATATCTCTTACATATGGTATCCTAAAAGAAAAGTATTAAAATATTACTGGACTTTATCAGAATTAAAACCTCATGTGCTTCAAAAGACGGCGTTAGGACAATAAAATATTTCAAAGACAAGTCACAGACTGGGAAAACAAACATGCAAATCCCTTATCTTGTAAACACTTATATCTAGAACATATATGCTCCACGATCTCAGTAGGAAGAGGACCCATCTTGTTTTGTGCCATGGAAGGTGGAGCACTGAGCCCTACACAGGCTAGGTGGTGCTCCCGGCTGAGCTGTGCCCTACCCCTTGTTTTTTTTTGAAGTGAGCGCTCTCTATATCGCCTAGGCCAGCCTTGAACTCCTTCTCCCCCGTGTCAGGATTACTGGTGTGCAACACCACTCCTGACCATAACCCACTTTAAAAAATATATTTAAAATTTTTGTGTGTATGAGTGTATTGCCTGCACGTATGTAAATGCACCTGTGTCATGTAATGCCCTTGGAGGTCAGAAGAGAGTGTTGGATTCCCCTGGAACTGGAGTTACAGATGGTTTTTGGCGGCCATATGGGTGCTGGGAACTGAATCCAGGTCCGAAAGAGCAACCAGTGCTCTTAACTGCTGAGACAGCTCTCCAGCCCCCATAACTCACTTTTTTTTTAAACACACAAGAGATTTTAATAGACATTTTATCAAAAAGACATAGAAACAGCCAACGAATACCCAAGAAGATGCTGACATACTTTGTTAGAGAGAAATACAATCCAAACCCCAGGGAGATGCTCCCTCTCCCCGATCAGGATGATTGTTACCAAAAGGACAACGTGGGCAAGTGTGCGGATACCCTGGAACTCTCATCCACTGCTGGTGGGAAATGGTCCAACCGCATGAAGCCAGATCCTTAAAGGTTCAGTAATGTACCACATGACCCAGTGGTTCCACACCTAGGAATAAGCCCAAGAGACATAGAAACACACCCTCGCAAAGACTTGTGCGTAAATGGAGGGAACCCACATTTTCATCAACTTTGAAGCAGATAAATAGTATATGACATGTCCATACAATGTCCTACTGATCAGGAAAAGGCTAGAAGAAGATGCTGACGCACGCCAGGACCCGAGCAAGCCTCAGAAACACTGCCACGTGCTGGAACAGGTGGCAGAGGCAGGGCACTGGTTATGTGATTCTGTTTCCAGAGATGTTTGGGAAGATCCAGTTACAGAGTGATGGGAAGTAGGGTCTTCCCCTGAGGCTGGCACTGGGAAGGGAGGGAATGCAGATATTCAGGAGGTGGCTTTGAGGGTGACAAAAAGGTTCTAGTGTTTGTGACGACAGTGACAGTGCTGTACATGTGTCAGAAGTTATTAAGGAATTGTCAGTGATTCCTGTTCAGATATTGAAACACTAATTATTTCAAAACCAAAAAATAAGTATGCATATTTACTTCCTTTACCTCAGAGAACCTTATTTCCAGGGCTGGGCAGATGGATCAGTGAATAAGGACACTTGCTGTGCAAACACTAGGAGCTGAGTTCAAATCCTCAGCATCCATCTGAAAAGCTGTATGTGGCTGTACACACCTGTAACCTCAGCCCTGGGGGACAGACAGGAGGATTGCTGAGGCTGGCTGTCAGCTTAGTTCCAAGTTCAGTGAGAGACCCAGATTCAAGGGAGTAGGACAGAAAGCAGCAAACCAGGACACCTGACATCATCCTCTGGCTTCCACATGCCCACAGTGGAGCACTTGCCTGTCATGTGCATACACCACGCACACGCACACGCACACGCACACGCACACGCTAGCCCACCCCCACATATCCACACAAAATAATAAAAGAAGTTCGTTTCCCTCTTTGCTTTCTGCCCCCCGTTTGTATATTGTTTTACCACTTAATAAACCTGTTACATCAATATTCAGACTCTCTCTCTCTCTCTCTCTCTCTCTCTCTCTCTGTCTGTAAGGGTTCTTTATTTCCTGTCTTTCCAGTAAACAAGATCTCTTAATTTTCATATTTAATGAACTCATTGACAATTTTTCACTCTGTGGGAACAGGCTTGCCTCAGACTATTTTGACCCTAATACGTTTTGTTTATGCAACATGGCTGAAAATTTCTCCCTTAAGTAGTTGTCCATTTATGTAATTGATGAGTTGGCGGTACTAAAAACAAGTACAATTAATGTTCTGAGTCAATTGGCAAAGCTGTAATGGAGGTGCCGGGAAATCCTGAGCCACCAGGTGGGGCCTGGGAGGAGGAAGATGCTTCATGCTGCGGGGGCCCCTGGGTCGGGGGTCAGCCCATGTCCCAGAAAAGAATCTCATTCTCCCTGGGCCATCTCCTGCCCATTTCCTGGTGGGAGGCAGTTCTAGGATTGCAGTTAGAAGGTTCTAGCACCTCACCCCAACCTCGTTCTTCACTGCTCTCGTCCCGTGTGGTTTATAACCATCATCAGTGTGCTGTTCTCATTACACTCCTCTCTGCTTGGCCAAAGCTCACTCGTGACCAACAGATACTGACCATACATAATGCTTTTCCTGTCTTTCTCTGTGTGTTAACATTCCCGTGTTATTCACACTCATGCCCAGGCCCCTGAAGGACACATAACTTGGGAAGAATTCCGGCATATTCTAAACTGCATGATGGGAAAGTTGAATGATTCGGAATTCAAAGAATTGATGCAGACGTTTGACCCAGAGGGCACTGGAGCAGTGAGGATCAGCTCCCTTCTGGAATTGCTGGATGAGAGCCCTAAGGTAGGTCTGCACAGCTGCTGGGCCAAGGCCCTGAGGTACATAGGTCTGCAAAGCTGCTGGGTCAGGGCACTGAGGTAGGTCCACACACAGCTGCTGGGCCAGGGCCCTGAGGTAGGTAGGTAGGTATGTCCACATGCAGTTTCTCATCTGGGTTTCTTCTGAAACCAGGAAATTTCAGTGTTCTTAGTAAGGTAAAAGATTCATCAAGATAATTAAGTAAATACATGATGTTTTTACCGCTTATATTTCAGGTAGTAAATGTCATTCATTTTAAGTCTAAATCTTATCAAAGGGAGACATTTGGCATTTCCTGATGCTTGTCCTGAGCCAACAGGCCTTATATCAGGGTGTAACTTTTTCCCAGGCACGAAGCAGAGTTCCACTCACAACCATGTCTTCCAAGAGAGTGTTTGGGATCTCAGCACTCAGAGGTCTGAGGCAGGTGAATTTGTGTGAGTTGAAGGCTACCCTGGGCTATATAGCAAGTACCAAGCCAGTCAGGGCTACACAGAGAAACAAGACCGTATATCAAAAAATAAAACAACGAAAGTGTTTGGGAAGAGGGCCTGTGCCCTGCATTAGTCGACTGAGTGTTGCAGGAAATAACTTAATTATCTCTAGTGATGTTGCCCTTAGTATTATATCTCTTTTGATTGAAAACTTGGCAGACTTCTACTAAAAGTGGATCTATGGTAGTCATTAGCATTTATAATTTTTAAGAACTTAAAAAATATCAGATTAACTTCAGATAATGCATGAAACAAGGCTTTAAAAGGCTCCTAACATATACAAAGTAGCTTTTAATCTTACATTTATGAAGCGGCATTGTTATACATCTAAATCAAACCACTAATACCAAGAGCTGTGCTGTACCCTCAGAGATGACCCCCATTTTTAAAATGGCCCTGGGGATTGAACCCAGGGCCTCACACATGTCCAGCAATTGCTCTACCGCTGAGCTGTGTACATGCAACCCTCTTTTTGCTTATTTTGAGGTAGGGTCTTACTATGTAGCTCAGGCTGGCCTGGAACTTGCCATCCACCTGCCTCAGCCACCAGAGTTGCTAGGATTACAGGCCTGTGCTATCCAAACCCAGCTAAGATGACTTTTCTTTTGAAGGGATCTGATGGCAGCGTCTTGCTTTGGGGGACTGTGGTGTGAAAGTTTAAGGCCGGCCAGCTGCCTTCTCCTGCCTTCTGTGGAAAATGCAGCAAGTTCATGGTCACTGAATCTTCCTGTTGGCTTTGGTTTTAGATCACAGCCTTACAGAGAGCTCAGGGCACATTTCTTGGTTAAAAGCAGGGCAGATGGGGTTGGGGATCTAGCTCAGTGGTAGAGCGCTTGCGTAGCAAGTACAAGGCCCTGGGTTTGGTCCTCAGCTGTGGGGGGAGCAGGCGGAGTGTGGTAGAGCACTCAGGCAGGTAGATCTCTGTGCGTTCTAGGCCAGCCAAGGCTGCATAGTGATACCTATCTCAAAACAAAACAAAACAAAATTAAAACAGCAACAAACCAAAGTGGGGCACTTTATTGGGATGGAAGTGTCATATTTAAGTTGGCTTCTCACAGTGCATCTAGAAATACTCTCCCAACATTTTAGAGGCAGTTTCAGTTCATCACAAGATCCATTTAAGTATCTTATGATGATACAATTAATGGACCTCTACTGTAAACTACTCAGGAAATATCCAGACTCTGAAGGTGAAAGCAGTACCCACAGCGTGGGAAGGCTTCACATCAGACACGTGTTCTCCCTGTGTTCACGTGTCCCCTCAGCCCTGGTGCACTCCTCTGATTCTCTCCTTTCCCTGTGTAGGTTCAACATTTCTCCCGTGTCCCCACATCACTGGAAACTCAAAAAAAAAGAAAAATGCTTTCCCCCTTTTATTCATGTGTATGTGTGTGGTGTGTTCACTTGTGTTTGGACACATGTATGTATGCATGTGCGTGGAGGTAGAGGTTGATGCCGGGTATTTTCTCCATCGCTCTCTGCTTTATTTACTGATACAGGGTCTCCTGTCAACCTGGAGCTCACCAGCTGTAGCTAGTCCAGCCAGGCACTTGCGGTTGGGAGTCCCGTCTCCTTCTCCCAAGGGTTGGAATGACAGGTGGCCACTACAGCCTCCACCACACACTCTACCACAAACTCCACCCCCACACCCTCCAGCACACACATTCTCCAGGCTCAGTCTGTTGGGGAGATGAACCCCAGTCCTCATGTCCATTCTTTTTTAATCTGCTTTCTATTACTGTGATAAAACACTGACCAAAACCAACTTGGGGGAGGAAAGAGTTCATTTCAGCTAACGGTTCAGTCCTTCATTGAGGAAAGCCAGGGCAGGAGTTCAAGCAGGAACCTGGACACAGGAGCTGAAACACAGACCATGGAGGAGCGCTGCTTTGCCTTGCTCCTTGGGCCTGTGCTCGGCCTTTCTCCTACAAGACAGGCCCACCTGCCCGGGGTGGCTCCACCCACAGTGGGCTGGGCCCTCCCACCTCACTCAACAATCAAGAAGATGCCTTAAGGACTCGGCCACAGTCCAGTCCAATGGAGGAAGCTCCTCAGCTGAGGTCCCGTCTTCCCTGTTGTGTCAAGTTGAGAATGGAGGTGATTGGGCCTACATCCAGCATTCTATCCACTGAGCCATCTCCTCTGCTCTTTCGTGGCTGTCGTGGAGTCCTGAGTGCATGGGAGCTGCTGGGCTGTTTGTCTCCCCCCTTCGCTGTGGATGGAAATGGCTGTGCCAAGCGCATGTCTCCACCCATGTTCTAGTCACCCATGTTCTAGGAGTAGCTTCTAAGGAGTAGGAAATACTCAGAAGGTGCAGGCATTTCCGTAGACAGACAGACACAGACTCACACACGCCATCTTAAACAGGAAAGGTGTAGAATATGTGTGGAAAGGCTGACAGGCCTATGGGAAAGACACCACCCATACCTGTCCACAAGAGTCAGGAGGGGTGTAGTTCTGTGTGTACAGGCAGTGCCTAACATTTGGAAGCCTAAAAGTATGCCTTGACTCAGTTTACCAGTGGAGCTTGAAAGCAAGATGAAGTGAGGATGAGAGGTGAAGACCGTCAGCTGTGATGGGAGCTTGGCACCTGTGTTCAGCTCAAGGCCTCCCCATCTATGAGCTGCATCCAGGGGTAGATAGCAGACCTCCTGAAGATTGTGTCTATACCACAGGCTGAAGATGGCCCCAGCCTGAGGGCTTGCTACAGAAACAGCAGAATAGCTCACAAAAAAAGTTTCAAATCTAAATCTTGTGTTTTAGTCCCTTGGTATGATTAACTTGGATGCTCCTTCCTCACAGCAGTGGCCGTGTTCTAACCCACTATCTGCGCCTTCTTAAATCCTAATTCAAAAGTGAGTTGCAGAGCCCATTCACACCCAGAAATGAGTAATGGTGACTTTTCCTGACCCCCTGTGTGGGACACAGCCTGTGTTAATCTTATGGTAATGGTTCTCCAGACTCATTAAGGCATTACAGCAGTTGTACACATCTTCAAACCAAACCAAGTCAAGCTAAGCCAAAGCCAAATCAACCAAGTGGAGACAGGTAAGCAATAAGCTCTCCATGCAGCAAGGGACATGATCTTTACTTGATGTAAAGAGATCATCATGTCAGCCACCCTTAAACCTCTCTGGTGCTTTCAGGGACCCTGGGTCACAAGCAGAAGCTCCTCCCACTGTTAGGAGGGGCCCTGTGGGCCGTCCTGTAGCTCCATGCAGCCTCCACACCCGATCGATCCAAAGTGCTGCTGCTGTGCCAGCTGCAGAGCCTTGGTGCCCGGCACTTGCAGTGTTAGACTTAGGAGAGCAGAAAAAGGAAGGAGCTTAAAGTTTAGAAATAAGACTCCAAGCCAGACCTGCTCCAGGAACTTGAGGGTCTCTCTCCCAAGATTATTTTCTCAGGCAGGCGAGCTATCTGTAGCACTAAAGGAGACAGGCGGGTGCCATGAACAGTCTCTCTCAGTCCAGGGAGTGACCAGTTGATAAGGCTTGACCAAGGCCAGGCTGCCAATTTAGGGCCAGTTTTAGCCACTTTATGAATATCCCTAATGAGGCTTGTGGCTCTTCTGCAATTCACACATTCTATCATGGAGGACCCTGCCTGACAGCCCTGGACAAGTCAGGTGATTCTCCTCCCACCAAGACAGTGGGAGCCCCTCGCCAGCTATGACCACCAGGTCCCATCTGAACCATGTACAGTCTTGTCTCCCTAAAGGCCTCCCTGTGCTCGCCCACTGTGTCCAGGAGGTAGGCTGCTGGGGTATTGGGTGAATGAATGAATGAAGAGTGAGTGAACGGATGATGTAGAAAACTAGGGGTGGAAGGAGAAAAGTCTCCACAGATCACAAAATGTCGTACCACTTTAATTTATAGATAATTTTTAGGAAGGGCTCCCAGTCTCTACCTTCGTTTCACGTCACCATTATGCTTCTGTTCCCTGAGTTTGAAGACCTGAGCGTTCTCCATCACTGGATCTTGGCATCCAGTTTGCTTTTTCTTTCATCAGTTTTGCTCAAACCTTGAGCCTGATGCTGCCTCACTTGATGTTGACTGCTTTACTAGAACATTCTAGCAATGGAATTATTGAGAAAATGGCATCTGAGGATGTCTGCCTCATTTGATTCATGACCTCGATTAGTTTCACAGAGGAATGTATGTACAAAGTGCAAAGTGCAGAGAAGGCCTGGGAGCCTGGGGAAAGTAAGCCCCCCGCTGCCCCCGCCCCGGTCTCCCTTGCCAGTGGCGGGCTTTGTCCTTCTGGAGTCTGAAAGTCATCACTTGTCCCATGTTACCTAAAGCTGCCATGAAACAAGACAGCTTCCAGAACCATCTACCAGTTTGCTCCAGCACCACCTGTGAGCCATGGCCAGTGCTGGCTGCCCCCTTTGTTGTTTTGCTACCGTAGCACACAGGGTGCCCTCTCACACTGTGATGTCACATTCAGTTAATTCTGGATGATGTCTCACCATGCTCATTGGGCGTTAAAAATAAGCTCAAGATTCACTGTTCCCCACTCGCAGAGGGTGATTGGAAAGCAGACTTCTTTGTTCAAACTCTCAAAGCTGTTGACCAATCAGGGGCACAGCTAAGATTCATGTCCAAGTCCCAGCTTTCCATTACCACTCAGGAAGGATTTTATCAATGTATCTTTCCCTCTCACCCACAAGTGAGAAAAATGTCCCCATCCACAGACACCAAGACACTTCCACCCCTGGCTTGGCACTCAGTAAGTAACCCTGGCCTGCTATTTGTGGACATCTTTGTGCACACCACGGACGCCCACACACCAGCTTCCAATGGAGTGTATTTATTTCCTGTATTAGGTGGAAGAAATAGTTCATGATGCTATCGCCAGGAACCTCCAGGCTTTCTACAGCATGATGCAGTCCTACGACCTCGGAGACACGGGGACCATTGAGAGAAATAACTACGAGAAAGTCATGCGCATATACTGCCCGTATTTAACAAATGAACATTTAATGAAGTTTCTCAGTTACTTCATTTCCTGTTCTCATCCAGTCTGCTTTACCACACTAAACCCCTTTTCTGTACACCTCTGCAATGCCTGTGGATAATGCTGAATAACAGCTGCTCTTTCATTGAGTTCTTACTAAGCATTGAACTAAGAGTTCGACAGGTGTGATTTAGCCTTACCACTGCCATGTAAGGAGGCTGGGAGAAAAGCGGAGTACCCACGTCAAGGCCCTGGTGAGTCGGGGCCAGGTTCTACCTGGGTCAGTAGGATCCCTGGCTCTTCCCGATGTTATTTCTTAAGGCTTATTTTTATGTGCATGTGTGTCTGTATATGTGTACATGCCTGAAGAGGCCAGAAAAGGGCATCAGGTCACCTGGAGCTGGAGTGGTTGTGAGTCACCTGACGGAGTGAATGCTGAGAACTGAACTTGGTCTTAAGCACTGAGCCTGGGGAAAGCAAGCCCCCCACCAGCCCTTTCCTGTTGCTTTTTTTTTTCTTTTTAATATCCCACAAAGGTCAGAAGAGGGCATTGGATCCCCTGGAACTGGAGTTATAGACAGTTGTTAGCCACCATGTGGTGCTGGGAACCAAATCCAGGTCCTCTGCGAGAGCATCCAATGCTCTTAACCACTGAGCGTCTCCAGCCCCAGTGTTGCTTTTGTTAAGCAGCTGTCTCCTTCATTTCTTGTGACGTGGCATATGAAAGGGAGAGGTTTCTGCAGACCACCTGAGGAATTTAGATTGGGTGTCTGTTGTAGTTATGGCAGCTGAGCACACAGTTCCAGTGGTCAGGGCATTACCAGGTCTTGCAAATGGTTCTAATCTTGAAATATTGGTAACTGAACAATCTATGTGTATCCAACTGTTAGTTTTATAGGGGCAGACCAGTCATGGCTTAGTCATAGACAATTTTAGGTACTTTATTGGTGTCAGTTTGGGGTCAAAATAATGATTTGGGGCTGATGAGATGGCTTAATGGGTAACGGTGTCTGGTTTCAGCCACTGTGCCTCTTACCTTCAGGGGTCTGGCATGGTTGGCTTCCCATGAACACTGGAGGACTGTATTCTTGAGCTGCTTTGGTTGAGACCTCCTATGGGGTGAAGAAGCAGAAGCTGAGGAGAGGCAGGTGGGCTTGTTAAGTCTCCTGCCTGTGTCTTTCATTTCCCACATGCACCCTTGGGCAAAGCCTGGTGCTGCCCTGGAGGGCCCCAAGGAACTGCTCTTGGGATCCACTGGTCTGCAGAGGATGGTGGCTGTCTTATCACCAGTGTCCTGCTCTCTGCCAAGGCCGGTTGTCACAACCTGTAACCAGGACCTCAGCGATGTTTTGCCAAAGGAGCAGGTGATTTGGGAGATTGTTAGGTGGGAATTCAGTCCCAGAGGGGAAAGGCCCAAATTCTCTTTAAATTAATTTTATTTATTATTTTATGTGTATGTGTGTGTTGCCTGCATGTAGGTAAGTGCACCTGTGTCACGCAATGCCTGTGGAGGTCAGAAGAGGCTGTCGGATCCCCTTGGACTGGACTTATGGACAGTTGTTAGCTGCCATGTGGGTGCTGGGATTTGAACCCAGGTCTTCTGCAAGAACAACCAGGTTTTTTAACCACTGAGCCATCTCCCCAGCCCCCCCCCCCCAGATTCTCTTTAACTCCTGATGAAGTGTTGGGATCTTGCTTGTTGATTTTGCTTCTGTTATACCGATTAAAATACAGCAAGTTTTTAAGTTGATCTAATAGTAATTGACTGTCAACGTTTTCTTTCTGTGAACATTTGTATTCATAACCCAGTTTTCAATTTTTCAGTAGAAAAAGGATTTATAGGAAGAGGAGCGTCACTTGTGTTTTAACCTGTGGACTAAGACTTATAGACAGATGCAAAACTAAGTCTTTGCCACCCAGAGCACATGGTTCAGTATGAGCTTTGATGCGTACCAGGAGGGTGTGAGGACACGTGCTAAGATGATGGTGTGATAGTGGGAAAGCTGGTTGCAGGACTAAAGAGATGACCATTCAAGGCTGATGTGGGGATCTCAGCTGCACTGCTCAGTGACCCAAGCTTCCTGTGTAACACATGGAAACAGCAGGAACCCTGGGGCCGAGGACATGACTCTCGGCCTGGCAGATCTGTGTCTGTGTTCACATGACTGTGAATGAGCCAGTGTGATCTGTACTCAGCCATGTGGGGAGAGCGGGTCTGAGCCTGAGAGCCAGGCAGACCCGCACACCATGATGGAGACTCCTGAAGAAACTGGACCCCAGAGACCCTAGATGGGGATCTGACGTCATCAGTGGGGTTAGAGGCTGACACACAGAAGTGTGGCACGGGGAGAGACAAAAAGGGCTCATTTGAGGACAGTCTTGAACTTCAGTTGAGCAGCAAAGGAGTCACAACATGTGACAACAGGTAGGTGTGTGTGTGTGTGTGTGTGTGTGTGTGTGTGTGTGTGTGTCTGTGTGTAGGATAGAGGTCTATGTCAGGTGTCTTTTGTTTGTTTAGGCAAGGTCTATCACTAAACTTGAGCACACTATTTCTGAGAGGATCTGCCTGTCTCCACCCTGAGGAGCACTGAGGCTGTAGGTCCCTGCTGTGGTGCTGGGCTACTGTAGGTCCCTGCTGTGGTGCTGGGTTATTGTAGGTCCCTGCTGTGGTGCTGGGTTACTGTAGGTCCCTGCTGTGGTGCTGGGCTACTGTAGGTCCCTGCTGTGGTGCTGGGCTACTGTAGGTCCCTGCTGTGGTGTGATGACATAGGCCATCATGCTTATGCAGCAAGTGCTCCATCCACTGAGCCGTCTCCCCAACCCCAACCCATTTTTTTTTTAAGACAGAATCTCAGACTTGTTCTGTAGCTGGGGCTCACGTAGAACTTTGGATCCTTCTGACTCTGCCTCCCGAGGGCTACATGCCCAGTTTATGCTGTGCTGGGGCTGAAACCCAGGGCTCTGCGCATGCTAGGCAGGCACTGTACCAACAGAGCCGCACCTCCAAACAACATGGCCGTCCTTACGGTTACTGACTTAAATCAGGTCTGGGCATGGTGGCCCATGCCTGTGGTGCTCCAGCACTCGAGAGGCTGATGGAGGAGAGAATTTGTGTTCAGCCTGCATGTACAACTTTGTCTTAAAAAGTGAAAACAAGAGGGGGTGGGGAGGAAGGCTGAGGCCGGGATCACCCACCAGGAAAGCCTTGGTGTGCTGGCTCAGGCATATTCGTTTCAGTCCCTGTGGGATGTTTGCAGGATGGTGTTTGCTGTAGTGTATGGGGCACAGGAGGATAAGGAGAAACAGGAGCTGTGACCCAAGAGAGAAGGTTCTAGAAAGAGATGGGGTGAGGGGAGGGCCATAGTGGCACTGCAGCCTTCAGGAGAGACACAGGAGGCTGAGTTGCATGTCCCTGTTGCACACCGTCAAGCACACATGGCTTCTGTTGTGAGCCGGACCGAGGCAGGGGTGGGGTGTGGTGGGGTGGGGGACCAGGGACTGACTGGCCAATTCACATGTCCTTCACTTCATTCTCCACTCTGAGTATCAGGGAGGGCCTCCTGAATATAGGCCACCCCAGGTAATGGGTTCACGCCAACTTCCTGATTCACAGGACAGAGAAGCAGACAAGCTGGGGAGGGGGGACCTTAGTACTGTGGGGGTGTGAGCTCAGTGTTCCAGGAATGGGGGGAACCTTAGTACTGTGGGGGTGCGTGCTCAGTGTCCCAGGGATACAGAGGAGGGATTCATTGACACATGGAGGGGGCTGGACTATAAACGCAGAGATACTTCCTAGATGTGGTACTTGAGGGACTGCCAAGAACATGGTCATGGCTTATGAGCTGTTGAGTGAGTGAACGAGTGGGTGAATGAATGAAATTGACTGAGTCAGGCAGGCCACCAGGCACTGGAGACAGAGGACGGCATCCATTCCACACACACAGCCACACTGCCTATGAAACACTGATCCTGTCCAGTCCCACTGACATCAGGAAATTAGGTCATGCACAGCCCTCTCACCTCTAGACCTCAGGCTCTGTGTAACCAGGCTACCTGGGGCTCAAATACAGCTCAGCCTCCAGTGATCCTCGATGGTGAACAAACTCCTTCCCATTTCCTCACCCAGGTGGCCCTCCTGGAGCCATGGCAAAGATCAAGTGAGATGGTGTGCCTACTGCTTTTAGCTCCATGCCATGCATCCATGTGTGCAGTGGTGTCTTGACTGGTCTGAGCTCAGCAGGCTCCACTACTTTGGGCTTCTTCAAAACATTGGGCTTTCTCTGGTCTCTGTGCACTTTGACTGTCTATTCGCTTGGTCCCAGCCGATTAGAGCTGGGCAAGCTATGAGCCATTCTAGTTTGTTGGTTGTCTAGCCATGGTACTTAGCACAGTGGTTACTAGGCTGACAATCACTAGTATTTGCTGAAGAGGTGACGATGGTTTGGAGTTGTACTTGCACTGAGTGGGGCTTCAGAGCCGTCTGTCATCAGAAACATTGTGTGATGGAGCTGATGGCGCCATTGTTGTTGAACATCCTTACAGACGGCGTGCCAGCTCCAGCTGAGAGCCAGCTGTGGATCTGCTTAGTCTTTGCAAAAGTCCTCTGCAGGCAGTAGGGCTTGCCATCCTCTGCTTTAATACGTGAGGTTGCTGAAGTGCACTTGGGACTGTAGTTCCCAATTCACTTCTCTCTCTCTCTCTCTCTCTCTCTCTCTCTCTCTCTCCCTCTCCCTCCTTCCCTCCCTCCCTCCCCTTTTTTAACCACCCAGGCCTCATTATTTGATGCATGAGAAATTAAAACTGAGACATTACAAAGTGACTGCAGGGGGCTGGAGAGGGCTTGGCAGTTTAAGAGCACTGGCTGCTCTTGCAGAGGACCCACGTTTGATTCCCAGCACCTACATGGCAGCTAAAAACCATCCTAACTCCAGTTCCAGGGGATCTGACGCCCCCTTCTGACCTCTGCAGGCACTGCACGACATGAGTCCACTCACATACATGCAGGCAATACACTCATACACACAAAGTAAAAATAATACAGTATTTAAAAGTGACTGCAGAGAACAAGCTGGTGTGTTTCCGTGGAGGCTAAGGATAGCGATGTCAGAATAGTGACGTCAGTGGACTGACAGAATCACAGCAGCTTTAGTCGGAGAGCCAAGACTGCAGTCTGACCTCATCTCTCAACACCTTGTCCTCCATCCTGACTTAGACCCTCCTGCAGACTGGGGGATGTTTGCTAGCAGGGTCACATGCATGCATCCCCTCTGAGTCACAACAAGGTCATGGCTGCATACCATGGCCCCTGAGGAGCCACACACGCTCTGGAAGTGTCCTCAGACCACTGGGAGCCCCTACCTTTCAGCCCTCAGTCCTGCAATCCCAGGCTTGTATGCAGCCAGCAGGGAGGCTGGTTCCAGGGCTCATGTCCCAGGTGACTGAGCTCCTGTGGGTCTTGGTGAGTGTGTGAGACTTTGTCCTGCTGCCTAGACTTTGCAACAATGAAAGCATGCAACTCCTTTATTTTTCTTTTAGAGAGAGAGAAATAATTTTTTAGCATTGATTTATTTATTGTGTATGTCCGAGTGTGAGTGGGTCACACATGTGCCATTGCATGCAGGTCAGAAGACAACCTACGGGATTTTGTTCTGTCCTAGTGTGTAGGTCTTGGGCATCAAACTAAGGTCATGAGGCTTGGCAGCAAGTACCCTTACTGACTGGCCTCATGCACAACATCTGTGATTAGAAAAATGGTAAAGAAAATGTTGAAAAAGAAATTAATCCTGGGGCTGGAAGTGACCAGCAACAAAGAGCTTGCCTATCTAGTTTGGTCCCCAGTGCCATAGTAACAATAAAAAAGGATGGAAGAAGGGAAAGTGGGAGGAAGGGAGGAGGAGGAGGGAGAGGAAGAAAGCCAATCCCACCGTACAGTTTCATAAACTATTACAGAAGCTTCAATTCTAATGTAAGTACTTACATGCTTTCACACTGAATTTCTCATTTGAGGTCTCTCTTTGCATGTTGGCCTTTTGTGGCGTATACTCATACGTCACAAGCTGGCGTATTTAAATGATAGGATTTGATGAAATTTGTTGTGTGTCTACAGTCACAAAGCCGTCACAAGACAACATGCATTTTATTTTCATTCCCTCCCAAATTTCCCCCGTCCCTCAAGCAAGCACTGATCTGTCTGTAGATGGTTTTGCATTTTCTAGAATTTTTTAAAAAATATTTTATTTTTATTTTTTATATGTATGTTGCCTGCATGTATGTGGGTGCACCTGTGTCGTGCAATGCCACGGAGGTCAGAAGGTTTTGGAGTCCCCTGGAACTGGAGTTAAGGACGGTTCGTAGCCGCCATGTGGGTGCTGGGAATCAAACCTGGTCCTCTGCAAGAGCAGTCAGTGCTCTTAACCACTGAGCCATCTCTCCAGCCCCCATTTTCTAGAATTTTATATAATTGGAAGAACATAAGATTTTTTTTGTCTAGCTTTATTGACTGATCATAATGACCTGAGATTTGCTTCTATTGAGACGTATCAGTCATTCGTGGATGAGTTTTCCATTGTGTGATTTTCCAGTTTGTGTATCTATTCATCTATTGATAGATGTATGGTTTAGTTTTTGCCTGTTGCAAATTAAACTGTGCATCCCCACAGGTCTTTGTGTAAACATTCACTCTTCTCTTGGATAATTGCCTGGGGACAGAGAGGCCAGTCGCTCCTGTAACTGTGTACAGAGGGGAACTGGCTCCAAGGAAGTCACAGGTTCCAGAGCCAAGGATGGAGATCACACGCATCTGTGTCAGCACTCGAGGGTCGGGCTTTTAATTTCAGCCGTTCTAATGGGTGTGTTCTGATGGCCTTTCAACTTTAGACTCTCCAGTAAGTTTCATGACAGTTTCAGGAAGAATCCTGTACAAGAAACTGTTGGCGGACATCGGAATCAGTGTTCCACCCCCTGCCTCCACACTCCCTGTTCAGAAGGATCAGCTAAGTGAGCAGCTCCTAAGCGAGGAACAGGAGCAGCCAGATCTCCCTGAGAGGTAAAATAAGACAGAAGGAAAGGCTCACCGAAGCACGGTGCCTGTGGAACACACCGTAGATATGTGCAGCGGAGCCAGTGTTTTCATAGTTTTTATCCAAGTAAGAAAAGGTGGCACACTAGGCGTGCGTGGTCAGAACCAGGTGGCTTTAGAGCAGTCAGAGCTTTCAGGAACGAGAGTCTCCCTGTCAGTTTCCAAGGTGAAAGCAGCATGGCCTGAGAGGTGCGTGGCTCGCTGAGGCTGGCCTTGAATTTGGGCAGCCTGGACCAGAAGTCTAGGGCTCTCTCCACTCCCAGGCATCTTGACTGTCCCATGCCTACACTTGCATACCTCTTCTTTCGGAGAAACTGAGGTTCCTCACCACCCATTAACGAGATTGTAAGACACACCCACTCAGCCAACTAACGTTTTCTGTATGGACCATGAGTTATTAAAATGATGGCCAGATTGAATTGTAACAAAATACATTCGGTGATCTGTAAAATAATTCAGTTGATGAATACTCTAGTTCCTCTTCCCTTTGAAAACAGCAGAAGCTCTAACTTGCGTGTTCATAGCTAATCATGAGTCTGTGGGGGAGACAACCAATAGTTCTGCCTTGCTGTGTCTCCTCTGGAAAGTTCTTAACCTTGGAGCGATGGGGACATCTTAACTCAACCTGTTTGTTTAATAATATGCAAATGTGCTTTGACTGTCTGGCTTTTCAATAGTAGTCACTTTACACAGTGGGCAGAGAGATGGTATTTTAAAAGAAGGGTTAAATATAGCTCGGCGTGGTGGTGCACACCTTTAATCCCAGCACTTGGGAGGCAGAGGCAGAGACAGGTGGATATCTGTGAGATAAAGGCCAGCCTGGTCTACATAGCAAGTTCCAGGCCAGCTGGGGCTACAGGGAAACCCTGTCTCAAAAAATCCACAATAAAAAAAAAATAAAAAATAAACAAATACTATAGTTAAACAGTTTGGTGTTTCTAAAGCCAGGAGAAAGGACAGCGGCAGCAAAGTGATTCATGAGGCGCAGGCCTTCCTGGAGAGCTGGTGAGAGCCAGAGACGCAGAGACCAAAGCCCTCCAACTGGCCACCCCATGTCTGCCATAGTCCCCTGAAGGACCTGGGGGTGGGCTGTAGAGGGCCAAGGAAGGACCTGTCCTCCAATCACACACCCACTCTTGGAGCATGTCTCCTCACATTTCCATTTTGTGAATTAAATTGATTCTACAAATCAACTTGGAGTAACTGTGGTTCCCCCTCCCCCTGAGGGCTGCAACCTCCTTGATCTAGTTACACAAAGGTCTTCTTAGCTTGACGCTTCTCCGCGGGCACTGACTTGAAGTTTTCCTGGTTCATAAAAACATTTTGTTTTCACCCATATGTGTTCTTAGCTCCTTTTCCTGTGACAAAAAAAAAAAAAAGAAAAATTGAGGAGGAAGGGTTTATTCTGGTGCACAGTTCAAGGGTCAGTCTATCATGGCGGGAAGGCATGGTGGCAGGAGTGTGAGGCAGCTGGTCACATGGTATCCACAGTCAGGACACAGAGAGAGGTGGATGCTGGGGCTCAGCTGGCTTTCTCCTTTTTATTCAGCCTGAGGCCCCCACCTAAGGGGTGGTGCCACCCACGGTTAGTGTGGATCATCCCAACTAGTCAGCACATCCCTCCCGTGTGCCCAGAGGCTAAATAATCCCTCCTGGGTTCCTGATGGCTTGTCTCCTAGGTAACTTCAGGCCCTGTCAAGCTGATCACACCAACCATCATATGTTCCCAGCCTCATGCCATTTCCACCCAGCTCCAGGCACAGTGGAGCCTCTTAGTGTGAGGACAGTCACTCTACAGTGACTGGCCTGTCACTCTGCCCCAGCCAGCAGGTCCCTCTCCATGGATACCATACTGGTGACTGCCAGTTCTGGTCTGGAGCAGTTGGATTATGGGAAGGAGGTGCTCTTCTCCGAGTACCAGCTTGTCCACTTGTGACGGGGGTTATAAACCTTGCTGTCATGGGATACAGAATGAGCGAGGCTGTCTGCAGCAACAGGGACCTCAGTGCCCTCTTGTGGTTTCAGAATCCAGCTCATGAGGGACAGCACTGCCAGGACCAAGAACATGACCAAGGAGGAAGTGATCGAAAGACTCAAGACCTGCATCCAGCAGCAGGACCCCGTGTTCAAAAAGCAGTTTCTTAGCATCAGCAAGGAGCCTAATGGGAAAATCAACCTGCTGGACTTCTGGAAGGTAGGAGAGCGGGTCCTGTGGGGCCTCCTTCCTGCCCAAGGCCCTGGGCTCCACCCCATTATGTACTCCATTTGGTTTATTTTCTTTTGTGGTGGGGAAAGGAATTGTTGGGCAGTGGAAGAAATTACTCTGGTGCAGCAGAAAGGTTTATTTAGTGCTTTGCTGGGGACAGCAGGCTGGGTAGTCACAGAGTCCTGTCTGCAGTCTAGGGGCCTGCTTCAGTGGGGGCAGACCCAAGTCCACAGCTGTGGCTTATTCTAAGGCAAAGCAGCTCCATTTCCAGGCACTGTTCAACAACTTCAGAGGGTTCTCTGGGCCAGAAATCATCATCTTTGGCAAAGTGTTCCAAGAACACTTCCATTATGGATGTGGCTTGGTTTGGGTACTTAAACATTTCAAACTGCTTTCTGTGCTGCACTTTTGGGGTGGAGCTGCCCACATGGACCTGGTACTGTTCATCTGGGATAATCTGGGGTCTGGAATACAGAACCATTAGGCCCCTGGATGCCAGTGAAGGGTCCCCACAGTGCTGTGATAGAGCTGGGATGGTTCCTCTAGAAAGTAGAAACAAAAACCAGCCTGACAGTGAAATCTGAGAGTCAGTACTTATGGGAACCTGTGAGTTTATTCCAGAAAGGGCTGCATGGGCTGCCTAGCGATTCAATTCAATTACTGCTTAAAGTCCCTACAACAAGCCCTTCAGCTAACTTGTTTTTGTCCTGTTTTTTTTTTTTTTTGTTTTTTTTTTTCTTCATTGCTATGGCAAAATACTCTGACCAATACCACCTTGGGGAGGAAAGGGTTTATTCAGCTTACATCTCCCAGGTCACAGTTCATCAGGGAGCCCAAGGTAGGAACTCAGGGAAGGAACCTGGAGGCAGGAGCTGGAGCACAGGCCATGGAGGAAACGCTGCTTACTGGCTTGCTCCCCTGGCCCCTGCTCAGCCTTTTTTTTATACAAAATAAGGGCCCCACAGTGGGCTGGGCCCTCCCACATCACTCATCAAGAAGATGCCCCTCAGACATGGCCACAGGCCAGTCCAATAGAGGAAATTCCCCAACTGAGGCTCCCTCAACCCAGGTGTGTCAAGTTGACACTAAAGCTATCCAGCACACCAAGCGTTGCCTGTTTTAAGGAAGGGATTTCAGTTAACGTCTCAGTATCCACATGGACAGGTTTAGAAACCATGAAGTCTATTTCCAAGAAGAGAATTCACACCTAAGTTCCCACTGTTTCCCTGGGGTCTTCCCCCAGACCTGGTAGGCCAGGCACCGTAACGGGCTCTGTGTATAGGGTCTAAGCCTCATGGGCAAGCGGTTGCCACACAAGCATGGGGACTGGAGTTCAACCCCCAGCACCCACATGAAAAGCACACTTCCCATATTCTGCTCCATCTCAGCCATGTGCCAAGGACCACCTTTGTTCTGGCTGCTCAAGTTAAAATTCTGTAGTCTGTATTGATTCTCCACTTCCTCCAACACCCACAATCCAGTCTGTCACCAAGGTCTGTTGGCTCCCTTCAATACTGGCCCAGGCCATGACATGCCCCACCAAGATAGCTCCACCACATCTATGACTATCTCCATCTCACACTGTGATTTTATCACCCACCGCACCTGTGCCCTGGTCTTACAGCAAAGCAGCCAGAGCCCCTCCTGCTCAGAAGCCCCCAGTGCCTCTCTCTCACCCAGTTGCAGCCCAGCTTCCCAGCATGACCTGTATGGCTATGTGGCCCAGGCACCACTGCCTCCCACCTCAGGTCTTCCCACTGCTCCCTGAGCTCACCCACCCCAGCACCAGCCCCTTCTCTATGTCACATTGTGTAGGCCTGTGCCCACCTTTGTACTGGCTGTTCCCTGCCTCGCCTATGGGTCTTCTGCACGGCTCTCATGCCACCCCCCCCAACCTGCCGCCAATTCCTTCTTCCACTAAGTGGCTCTGCTGCAAACATAGCCTGCCCTGCCTGGCCTGGCTCTAGTCCCTGTTTTCCTCTCCCAGCCCTTCCCCGTCTGTCTGTACCACATGCTGCTCCTCCCACGCCTCTTCTCCCTTTCTTTGCTTTTCTTCCTGTTAGGATGCCAGCTTTGGGGTGGGTGCTTTGACCTCCTGTGCAGGGAAGTCTCCCCAGTGCTTGGCAGGTAGTGGGGTCTGTGAGTGTCTGTAGAAGGAGAGGGTTGGGCCAGAAGTGGCCCAGCCCTGAGTCCAGGATCCCTGCTGGGACACAAGAAGGTACCTGTCCCTTTGCCTTCTCAGCAGAGCACCCTCCATGCTGACATCTCTCCTGTCACTTCCTGATCCTGTATTCTTCCTCAGTCAGGGAACAGGGTGAAGCCTGACGTAAGACACCCCAACATGGTCAGCATTGTGTGGCCCTTGGGTAGAACAAGCAAGTTCAGTGATTCTAACGGGGAGAGAGAGGAGAGGGAGAGAGAGAGGAGAGAGGAGAGAGGAGAGAGAGAGGGGAGGGGAGAGAGGAGAGAGAGGAGAGAGGAGAGAGAGGAGAGAGAAAAGAGAGAGAAAGGAGAGAGAGGAGAGAGAGGAGAGAGAGGAGAGGAGAGAGGAGAGAGGAGAGAGAGAGGAGAGGGGAGAGAGGAGAGAGAGGAGAGAGGAGAGAGAGAAAGGAGAGAGGAGAGGAGAGGAGAGAGAGAAGAGAGAGAAGAGAGAGGAGAGAGTGGAGAGGAGAGAGAGGAGAGAGGGGGAAAGAGAGGGGAGAGAGAGGAGAGAGGGGGGAGAGGGGAGAGAGAACTGTTAAAACATCAAGTAGTAAATGTTTTTCCCTCATCTGATTTTGAATTTCTCTAGGGTACATTCAACTCTGTTCAGTAAATAAGGTTGTTTGAAAACGCTGTATGCATCATGGTCAGTTAGATGAGAGGAAAATGCAAAGTGAATTAGGGAGCAGTAAGAAGGATGGAGACCCGCTCATAGTAAGAGACACAGATGTGTCCTGTGGTGGTAGAGACCTGGAATGAGAGACCTTTCACGTGCATGCTCCCACTTAGGGAAGTTGCAGCTAAAGGCTTCAGATACTGCCATATTTTGCCACTGTCAGCACAGAGGAACCCTTGATGCTCCAGTCAGTGAGACTGACCAAGTTGTGCCAGATGATTTCAGTTGTCAACCTAACACACCTGGGAAGAGGAGCCTCAGTTGAGGAATTTCCTCTATCAGATTGGCCTGTGGCCATGTCTGTGGGGCATTTTCTTTATTGTTGAGTGATGTGGGAGGGCCCAGTCCACTGTGGGTGGTGCCACCCCTGGGCAGGTGGGCCTGTGTTGTATAAGAAAGCAGGCTGACCACAGGCCAGAGGAACAAGCCAGTAAACAGTGTTCCATGGTCTGTGCTTCGATTCCTGCCTTGTTTGAGTTCCTGCCCTGCCTTCCCTTGATGATGTAATATGAGCTATAAGCCAAATAAATCTTTTCCTCTCGAAGTTGGTTTTGCCAAGTGTTTTATCATAGCAATAGAAAGTAGATTAGAATACTAGGCTTTTACTTGGCTCATTCTCAACATTTACAAACAATGGACAAATTAAATAGATAGGTTAATAATTAACTGAAGGCCTGGATAGGGCTAAGCGGGTAGCTACTGGATATAAGAGTTGGGAAAGGCATGGGGTGATGTTCCCATTTTCTGTAGCTTTTTACCCAGTGAGGGCTGAAGCCAGCACCATGTGCAGCAGGTAGGATCCTGACAGAGACCAGCCATCCTTCTTACATAGAGAACCAGATCTGGGAAAGTAACCCCACTGGAAACTAAGGGTGGGAGCAGAGTACAAAAAGGAGAGAGCCAGAGAACAGCTGGCCTGTGTATGGGTTCTTCCTGGATCTCTGAGTGCCGCCAAACCATCCATGAGCTGTACAGATGACAAGTGACCTAAGGACCCGAGAACTGAGCTGAAATTCGTACTGTGCCCTACAAGTCTGAAAAGACATTGTGTGCTCAAATAAACAGATGAACTCTCTAGAGAGATAACAGAATCTAGAGTCACCAACCATAGCATTCACCCTGTCCAGGATACAAGCCAAAATTCCTCAGCATACAGATAAGCAGAAAATGTGACCCTTCTCAATAAAAAACACAACTCTATGATGACCACATATTACCATTAACTCTCAAATACCTGCAAGGAGCTATTTTTATAATGCTTAGTGATATAGACAATGCACTCATAATAAATGGAAATACAGGAAATCTCAGCAGAGAAGTTATAAGAAGAACAAAATGAGGGATCTAGAACTAAAAAATAAGATACATGAAATAAAAAGTGTGTCAGATAGCTCGATCACAGAAGGGAGGCGGAAAATGGAAGAGTTGGTGAGCTTGAAGATGGAGCAGCTACACGAACTGAAGGAGAGGTGGAAAGGGCAAAATAAAGGGGCCAGGGAGAACACAGTAGAGAAAGCAGTTGCTGTGCAAGCATGAGGATTGGGAGGATCCACAGAGCCCACATAAAAGCTGGGTGGGTGTGGTGGCCCACCTGTAATCCCAGCACTGGGGAGGCAGAGACAGAGCATCCCTGGGACAAGCTAGCTAGTTACACTAGCCAGAACTGGCAACTCCAGCCAGAGCCCCTGCCTCAGTAAATAAAATAGAGTGTGATTGAAGAAGATATCTCATGTCAACTTCAGGCCTCCACATGCACATGCATACACCTGTATGTGGACACACATTTAAATATGCATACACACATGCACACACAGAATAGTATGTGCAGATCAGGGGGCCTCCAGATCATGGTACCTCCAGATCCTGTGGAACAATATCAAAAGTCTAACACTGGCATGTCTGGACTCACAGGAGCCAACAAGAAGAAGACTGGAGAAGACATACATGAAGAAATAATGGCTAAAACATCATGGTTTGGAGGAAAGTCCTAAATTTGTAGATTTGAGAAACTGAGAATGCTCCAGAATCAAAGGGAATCTTAAAAGCAGCATGAGGAGATGATGCTACAGACAGGGACCAGTGCTCTGAGTTGCCACCAAACTGCAGCAAG